TTATGACTACCCATGAACCTCCGAGTGACTCCTGCAAAGTTGTCTACAGGACCCCTAACCCTAAACTCTAAACCCTAAACCTTTGCTGCAAGCGGAGTGAAAGGGGTCATTGCACTTCAAAAACAACCCTAAACCCTAAACACTCGTGTTCAGATTCCATGGGCGACGGGAGGGATCCATCTTTATCTGGCTTCCGAGGCCTGTGGCCTTTGAGAAAAAGGCCCAGGGTCTCTACTCTAGAATTTATATCAAGTTCCACGGTTTAGGGTCTAGGGTTTAGGGTTTAGGGGCGAATTTTGTGTTTTCCGGTGCCAGAAGAGTCAGCTTCCGGCGCTGTCCCGCGATGCTCGCAGCTTGAAAGGCCCTGAGCCCTGAACCCTACAGCCTCAACTCCTACACCCTAAGCCACTTGGCGTTTAACGACAGCTTCTACGACGGTCTTCTCTCAAAGCCTGCCAAGCTCAACGTCCTCTACACTTCTCCCAGGCGCGTCGCGGGTTCCCGCAGAGTGGCGCAAGATGCTCGGCCGGAATGTTTCAGAGGCTTTTCTGGCTTCGTTCGCTCTCAAAAAATGGTAGATCTATGAGGCATTCTGCGACTCCTTAAGGGTTCCTTGTTCTTCCACACAGAGACCCGCAGCACCAATACTCAAACCCCCTACCGGACGTGTCCAAACCCTGAAAGGCGGTCCTGATGGGGGGGCGGGCTTTCAAGTTGGGGCAGATTGAAACCGGGCAGGTTCGCTTAACAAACCATGTTTTTGAATGGCCCGGAAATCGACGTCCGCTCGGAGCTTCACAAAAATCTATGACGAAGCTGTTTCAGTGCGCCAGCGTTGTAGGGCGCAACTTCCTTCCAATGCAGAAATCGCTCCTCCAGGATGCACGTCGTGGCAGCAGTGCCATAGGAACTGCTCACCCTCTTCAACATACACCTTTCGTGACCCGCGTTGGTAATGCCCGCAGCACACACAATGCTTCTGTGTAAAGCCCATCTTCGACAGGTGATTCCGTTTTGGCTTGGGGTATGCCTCACCATGAAGTCTTCTGCAGCAGTCCAGACAAGATTGGCCGCAGGCCGGAATTTGCCAGGTAGGATGTCGACCCTTGAGCGCGATTCGGGTTCCTCAGCAATAAGGATACGTAATGTCCACCCAAACCCCAAATGGTAAGGCCTCTATACTAGAAGATTCTACTCATCCTGAGCCAAATCCCATGGTCCAGCAGGCCGAAATTGGGAGTCCCATGCTACGGAAAGCAGCAAACTTGTAATTATTGTTTCATCTTATTATTTTCTCGAGCATAGTTCGCTCGGCCGCTGCGTGGTTGCTCTGTGGAGAGAAAACAACAGAGCGTCTCGGTTTCAAGTTGTTTTACTGCGGCTGCCAGACGGTCGAGGAGTTGGCGAAGGAAAACGCTGTCGTTGTCTGTGTCGTAATTCGGATCTTACGGTGTGGAGCTGCACCCGAAACCCGGCTCACGCTTGAGACGCTCATCTACAAGCTTGCAATGTCTACTATCCAGAAGCTCAGGCCCACGAAGTCATCTTCGGATTCCCCATTAAAATCACCCTCCGAAGAAGCCCATGTCTATGAAAGGCCGCTGTTTTCAGAGGCTGCGGGGAACCCTGAAAACCCTGGTTTTCTTCGTCTTTCTCGGAGAGAGAGAGATGGAGGGATGGAGGCTCTGAGGGCTCAGGCTTTGGGGGGCCAAGAATTTAGGGTTTGGGCCCTTGAGGCCCTTTAGGGTTTCGGGTTTAGGTTTTAGGGCTTGCTGGGGACATCGGGCAGCGAAGCAGAGGAATTACGACGCGCAGCGCCTGCTGCGCAGCCTGATCTTCTGCATGGAGGCGCCGGACTGGTTGGGGATCGGCTCATGGTAGCCTTACCGGTTGTGGAAGATGTGAAGGTTTCCTGTATGGAGAGGGATGTCGCACAAGAATGGCTATGGCCCATGTCATGTAGCATGCCTGCTTATGGCAAATGTTGGTGGCTTTCGTTCCTGACGGGGAGACTGTTGAATTCTCGTGTCCGTGGATTTGCAGCGACATTCGAGTCGGAACCTTGCGTTTCCGGGGCAGAACCTATAGCCCGCAGTTCAGCATCCATACCAGAGCCGTTTCTAGCCCTTGATTTAGTGAGTCTCAGCAAGTAGAATCGGCGGTTAATGAGGCCACAAACACTGCACCGCCCGTAACGGCTAAGCCTTCTGTGCCGGAAGGTCTTGTACAGGGCTATCTGCATGCGCAGTTCCTTGCTTTGCCTTCGCAGCTTTGGTTTCATGATGGGCTGCTTCGAAGTTTTGGTTATCGGGAGGACTCTGTGCTCAGCATTCGTGGCTACTGCTCTGACTGCCCTCTTGTTTTGACGATGCCCTCCGTGGAACCTTACCTCCAGCCCATTCCGCTCCCTACTACCTCCTCCATCTAGACAAAAAAGAAAGCTACCCGAGCAGCCCAAAAACCTACCACCATGGCCTGCAAAATAAAGTTGCCCTTCAGCCCTCTTGAGCCCCGAAACGTCTCCAGGTGCTGCTGCGTTTCATGCTGGTCCCGGGCAGAGTGGAGACCTCCTGCTTGATCGTGGACCTGCAGAACATCTCCACCAAGGACGAATTTTAGTAGCTAGCAGGGTAATAACAACAGCAATAGCGATAGCAATAATAATAATAACAACAATAATCACATGAATAGTAGTAGTGACAGTGTTAGTGTTAGTCACACTCACAGTACTAACAACAATGAGAGCTACATCCCCTCCCGGCCCCTATATTGCATATGACCGTCCATTTCGACCGCCCAAGAGCCAAGTCCTGGGTTTCGGAGTTTAAATCCTAGGGTTGTGGTGTTCAGGGTCCTACTTGGAGGTTCATGGGTCTCGTAGGAAAAGTTGGTTATAAGTCCCCCGAATATGGCTTATAAGCATAGTTACCCTACTTATAACCCCATGTATAACTACCCATGAACCTCCAAGTAGGCTTTAGGCTTTGCAGCTTCCTGGGCTTCGGCTTTCGTCTTCAGGATCTCGGGGTTGAGGCCTTATCGGTGGCCAGACAGACCTACCTCTCTGTTAAGGAGCTACATTTAGAAACCATCATAAGGAAACCTAACAAACGGTAGGTCTTCTTTAGGCTACAGGTAGTGTTTAGGACAAAAAGGAGCTTCGAGGAAGGCTTTTGGATTTGGCACCCCCAGGAGTTCTTTACCTGGAGTTCTGTCAAATGCCCGGACCGAGGGGTTCCAGATTAGATGTTGCTAGTACTATTGCTATTGCTATGACGACGACTACCGGAATTGCTGTTTTTAGCGCAATTTCGCTTACTATGATTAGTACTAATTTAATACTTTTGCTCTTACTATTGCAACTACCATTACTATTGCTATTGCTGGTACTAGCACTAGTACACAAAAAACCAGGGTTCCGCGTTTTCCTGGATCAGGATCGCTTCTGCTTGCGTCCTTGTGGAAGGTAGACGAGGTGGCTAGGTGAATTCGGGGGCTCGCCCCCCCGCCCCCCGGTAGGGTGAATGGGTCTAGGGTTCTACGGTTTAGGGGCTCAGGGGTTTTAGGGCCCCAGGGTTTCAGGGTTTAGGGTTTGGGGCTTTAGGGTTTTAGGGTTTCAGGGTTTGGGGTTCTACGGTTAGGGATGTTAGCATAGAGGTACTCTCCGAGGAGTACCAAGGACCCCTTGAGGTCATGCGAGAAATAGCAGCCCCTGCTTCATGGCTTAGGGTTTAGGGATTGGGTAGGGTTTAGGCTGATATGATGTCCTGCATGTCGCACGCTAGAGCCTACTTCACATGGCAACCGAACCCCAAACCCGAAACGACTGTTTCGGAACTGTCGGAAAGCTTTCTTTAATGCGAGACAGCTCTCATGCCGACGGCTCTGTAACTCAGCATCCTTTAGAGACCTGAATAACAGAAGGGCCCTTACTAATTAGAGCACGCTTTTGTGTGGTGGGGAGATATATTATGACTTTATACTTAGATTAAGGAGCATGAGTATTCAGGCGTTTTTGTTGCATATACCAGGACATTCCGATCAGCCTGCTGCGCGAAATCCATCAGCTCTTCACGGCGCACTATCCGTGCAGAGGCCAAGTAGAAGGGAGGGCGGGTACATACGATACCTATAGGACCTATAAGTGTTTATGTACGTATATACATGTGTTATCTATGCTTTTTTATTGATGTGTTTCAAGAACTATAAATCTATAAATGTACTTTTGTGTTCCTGATTCTGTTGGGGCTCCCGGCTTCGATCTGCTCTCTTGCGAAGCTCCGAGGAACTTCATAGCTTGGGTCTTAAGTGGGCCTTAGATATATCGGTTTAGGGGTTTAGGGATTTAGGGCTTAGGGCCTTCAGGTTTTGGCTTCGACGGTCACCAGTTTGCTAACTATGGATCTTCATGTGGGCCTGATGATCCATCGTAGTGCTGATCTTGCAACGAATGGTTCATCCTTACAAGTGCATGGCCAATATCGTCGCACCACCTTCCCCAGCACCATCATCATCATGCCTACCCTGGCTCTCCATTATGCTCAGTCTTCTGATCGCGGTCGCAACTCGTGAGCAAGGTAAGCTTTAGGTAGGCTGTCAGGTGACAGAAAAGGCTGCACAGAAACAGCAAGGCGACACCGACCCGTGCTTTTTTTGATATGACAGACCCAACACTGAAGCCCACTATATTCTACTATACTATACTATGCTATACTATACGACCCTAAACTTTAAACTCGAAGCCTCAAACCTTGCCTGCTCAAGCCCAACGCCCAAAATCACAAAGGCCAGAAGCCGTAATCCTCAAAGCTTCAACCCAGACCCCGATTGGGGCTTCGCAGTAACTTAAACTGGAAGCATAAGAAGGAACCCCATAAGGAAAATGCTGGTAATTCTTAGGGCCCCTTCCTCTTTTTAAAACTCCTCAAGAAAGCACCGATGTGGCAGGCTTCCGGTTTTACGTTTGCAACGTGCCCGGCATGCTCATGGCCATGTCACCCATGGCCAGAAGCCACCTGGATGAGTTTTCTATGAGGCTTCCACAAGGGCTCTTTTGGACTAATTCGGGGGTTCTTGAAGGGTTTGGGCTCTAAGGGTTTGGGGCTTTTGGGCTTTAGGGCCTGAGATCGAGGACTCGAGGGCGAGGCTTTGGGCTTCGAGTTTAGAGTTAAAACTGTTATACAGCATACATATATATATATGTTAGATATCAGATACAACGCGACTGGCCCTGAAAATGCTCTTGACTGAACCCTAGCCCTAAAAGTGAATCCGGAACTCCAGATTTTTCAGAGTCAAGCAGTGAGCACATGGACACCAAGGTGGCGGAACACCAAGTCTAGGGTTCAGGGCTTATACAGCTAGCCGATGTAAGAGTTAGCAAGACCTGGAAACGGAGAAGTTTCGCCAGCATTGTCAGAGTCGCTGTCCTTAGCCTGAGAACCTGGGCTCAGGAGGCTTTAACTCTCAGGGCTTTGGGAGTGTTTTGTTCTCATCTCGGTGTTTGCAAAGGGTTTTAGGACTCAGTGTCAGGAGGCGACTGCGAGGCTTAGAGTTTGGGGTTTCTATGGTTCAACACTTCGTGGAAGAGTTTTGTTTCACCCAGTCGTTCAACGATGACAGTTTTCAATCCTCGCACCCAAGGCCCTTCCGCTAAGCCACACCCTACTCTCTTGACCCCCATGGTTAATTCCCCAAACCATTCTAGTTCTAAAGGGCCCCCCTAGTTTACACCCAAGGCAAGCACTTCTATGTTGCCCAAACCCCTCTTTGTCCAAATTGTTCAGGCCTCCCCCCTTTTTTTGCACCAAGGCCTGCTGACGGAGAGGCAGAAGTTGAAAGTCTTGGTGCTGCACAGCGTGTCGGAGCTGTTGAAGGATCCGGAGGGGTGTTGCATGGCCTTCTATAAGAACTCTACCACCATAAGGATTCCAAGACGGTTTCTAGAAGGCTTGAGTTTAAGACCTGGGATGTATGGTTTAAGATTAGGGTTTGAGAGTTGGGATGGAGAATTTCAGGGGTCTGTACTACATTCAACGTGTAAGATCGAAGTTAAGAGCCTAGGCGTTAGGTTTCAGGGAGAAGGACTGGCACGGCTTGCTGGAAGCCTCTAAAAGGTGGCCTGAACGATTAAGCCTGAGACCATCATGGCAGGCAGGCTAAACCCTAAACCCCTAAAACCCTAAACCCCTAAAGCCTAAACCCTGAACCCTAAACCTTAGGTTTGTGGTCTACGGAGTGTAGGGTCCAGGATTGATCTTGTTGTCAGGGTTTGAATGATGTCGGCCTTGGAAAGGGCCGGAGTCTTGACAATTTGAGGGTTTGGGTCTAGGTTTTGGAGTTTGGGAGTTTCGATTTCCGAGTTTAGCTTCGGCTTTGAAGTTCCATGATCGACGCCTACACCTTAAAACAAACGCTAGAAGCACTCAAACCAAAAAAGAAGCCCTGACAGCGCAGCTCCTCGCTGTAACGGAAGGGATGCTAAAGCTTGGAATTGCTGGGAATAGCAGGAATACTGGCTAACCATAGCTGATGATAGTAGATAATGGCAATAATCGCTAGCAATGGCTAATAGCAGCATTTAGGTTTTAAACCCCTGAACCCTAAACCCCTAAACCCTAAACCCTAAACCCTAAAGTCCCTAAGCCTTTCAAGGGGGACCTAAGACCTAAGATTTCTGCGGCAAGGAGGAGGAACTTCGCCACCCGGCCACAACAACACAAACCTCCATGTCCAGAAGCCCAATACCGAGGGTTTCTATTGAGGTTACTAGAAGGGTTCAGGGTTCAGGGGTTTAGGGGTTTAGGGTTGAGGGGTTTTAGGGGATTTAGGTAGGGGTTTAGGGTTTAGGGATTTCGGGTTTAGGGGTTTAGGGTTTAGAGGTTGGTGGTTTAGGGTTCGAAGTTGACTCACAAACTGGTTCGGGTCTGAGCATGGCCCTAGGCAAAGTCCCTCGACCTGCCCTTCTGTGAACACCGCAACGTCGTTTTTCCTTCTCCTGCTTCACCCCACTACTCCGACCACCACTACAACTACTGCCACTACCACCTCCACTACCGATTGCACGCAGGACTTCGCACCACATCAGCTGGAGAAGGACTTAGGCCCTGCATCAGACAGAAGAGGGACGACCACCTGCCCAGAATGGGGAGCTTCTTGATATCAATTCCCTGAATATGGGGGGGGGCCTATTAATTCACGCCACTCCGATCCAGCGTCGAGACTTCATGTGAAACAGAGTGTCACTAGATGCGACTGAAGTAGATCACGTGGCAGTGCGCACGGGGACTAGTGGTTAGACACTAAGGCGCCCCCCGTTTTTGTTGCAATGTTTTTCCCCAGGCCTTGCTTTTTGTTATCACTAGACAGCTTGCCGACCTCAAGCTTATGGTCCTGCAGAGATGCCTCTTCATTGGGGGGCCACGGGGTTCCTAAACTTTGGGGGTGATCAAAATACATAGGCTCTGTATTCGTGCAATCTCGCTAACGGGATGGTATCTTCTGTAGGGGTCCGAATCATGAGGCTTTCTGGCTTTTACGGGCCGTTTGCATCCCGTAATTTTCGGCCACATTTGACTGTGGGTCTCCTGAACCGTTTTGGGGAATGTTCCCAACCTGTAGACATGTTGGAAGAGATCTTGGTTTGCAGACCCTGCGCCCTCAAAACCTTAACGCCCTACGCCCTCAAAGCCGTAAAGCCCTGCGCCCTCAAAACCCTAAAGCCCTACACGCCCTCAAAACCTTAACGCCCCACGCCCTAAAGCCCTGAGTATGCACCCTACACCCTATAAACCCTAAACCCTAAACGCAAAAGCCCCTCCCGGAGGTGGTTCCCGACCGCTGGCCACGAGCTTCTTGCCCTTTCCTTTGCAGCCAGGCAGGGTGATTTTTGTTGGATCCTTGCGGTTTTTTCGGCCTACGGAGTACAATATAGGGGCCGTAATACTTAGAACAGGGCTTGGGATATATTATAATGTATAACAGGAACCCTCTCCAAAAAAAAGCCCTGTTCTAACTCTTCAGGCCCCCATAGAGTGAGAGTAGGGACTCAAGGGTCCGGCTCTTTTGGACTTCTGAGTTTTAAGGCTTTGGGGGGGTTTTGTTTGTGGCTGGGAAAAAAGCTGCAGGGGGAGGTGGAAGAAATGTGTCGTAGCAATTTAGGGTGTAGGGTTTTAGGGCTTAGGGGTTTAGGGGTGTAGGGGCTTGTCGTACCACTGGCAGTGGCAATAGAAAGGAGCCATCGTCGTAGTCGTCCTTCGTCGTTGCAAGCTTCCCTTGGCTCCTTGTCTTGGGAGGACCTTTTGAGCCAAATGCACCAGGCCGGGCTTCACGGAGCGGGTTTCGCAGGCCGAATTCTTCAGCAATTCTCCTTGAAGTGTGTCATCGGGGCTGCGTTATGTATCCGGTTCTTGTTCATGCATGGGTCTGTTGGCTCTTGCGGCCTGTTTGTTTGTTGTGTTTCGCGTTTCAGGGCTCATCAGAGGGGAAAGAAGAGGGACAGGAGGAGAAACGAACAATGTACTGCTGGACAAATTCTCCTCGTGATCCATGTAGAGCCCATTTAGCATCTTCGCAACAGACCGGGAGCTTTAAAAGAGAGGTCAGAAGACCCCACAGCCGAGAAGTGACTATTCATACCCTAGTAGCCCTAAACTCTGTTGGGTCATTATTCAGTCCCCCAGCCCCCATAGCATCAATAGCATCATAGGCGTAGTTCTCTAGGTCCCCAATCTAGTACGGCAACCTTATTTAAAAAAAAAAATTTTAAAAGGGAACCCCGCTAAACCCTAAACCCGAAACCCCAAACCCCCCCCCCTCCCCCAAAAAAAAGGGAGAGAGCTACCCAGACTATGGAGTTTCGGGGGGCTGGGACCCCGGCCTGACCGGCGCCGAGCCTTGCTGGGGTCCACGAGCTTCTGTTGCGCATTACGGGGTTTAGGTTTAGGGGATTTAGGGGGTTTAGGGAGTTTAGGGATTTAGGGTTTAACGTTACTGGGTTCTTCTTAGGGGAGAGAACTTAAGTTACAATAACAAGGACACCCTATTATTTACTATAGATCCCTCTTATTATGGTAACGTAATTAACGCAAAGCTCAGGGTGTTTCTTGGGTTGTGCAGGCCGAGGGTATGCTTTCTCAAGCTTTCAGGGGTGTTCAGGAACATGGTCTCAACTCACTGTCCCCCCTTGCGGGACATGAAAGTAGAGAGTTCGCGGGCAAGAACCTGCTGAGGGCCAAAGCGTGCTGTTGCACAAAGAAAACCAACAAAGCTTTTAAGGCCCCTGAACCCTTAAACCCCTAAACCCTAACCCCTAACCCCCAAAATTTTAAACCCCCTAAAACAGGAGCCCCAAGAATCTCCCTGAACTTTCCCAGGACCCCGCAGGGCATCTCTTCCGAATCTTCATTCCTACAGCTGCCAGGACGGGAATCCGCGGTGTCTTTGGGTTTAGGGATCTGTTCGCGCCAGGGTTTTTTAATGCCTTGAGACCTCAGGGCTGCAGCTAAAACCAAGGATGACTCTGTAGACCCCACCACGACTGAAGGGGATGCGCGCTGCATCGAACTTGCAACCCTGCAAAACCCTGGCCCTGCAAAGTCTGAAACCCCAAGCTGCCCTGAGCCTCCAGTGCCACCCTAAACCCGAGGCCCTAAAAGACTCTTCAACCCTAAACCCTACAACCCCACCCGAAAGCTCCGAAATCCACCGGGTTTTTAGGGGGCTTAAGCCGCTACGATCCCAAAGTCCAGGAAGCCACGCGTTTGGCTCTCCATGGGCACTCTGAGGGAAAGGCCGAAGATTCTGCTCTAAACCCTCATACCCTTCAAAGTACCCCTAAAAAGGAACCTCATAGGACCCTTTAAAGGAACCCTTAAAATACCTGTTGGGCCTATGGTGGGGCAGTGGAGTCTTGGGTTCGGGATGTAAGGGTTTGGGCTTTAGGATTTAAGTGTTCAGGATGTACCGTTTAACGGTTTAGGATGTAGGGTTTGAAGGGTTCAGGAGGATGTGTGATTTTTCGGTGGTTTCGGGCTTTAAGGGATTGTGGTTTAGAAACTCGCGGTGGAATATTGACGGGTGAATAAGTACGACAAGTAGTTGCTTATAGCTCCCTTAGAGCTAAAGCTACAATGTACCCCAAAACCCCATTCGAATTGTGAAGGCCCTTATATGAGTCTGGTTTGCTGCGACTGTGGGCTAATTGAGTTCTGGAGCCCTTGCCCGGGACTCTTTCATGCCTAGCTATCATTACTACAACAAGTATTTCACACCTTAAACCCTAACCCCCTAAGCTTTAGCCTTAAACCCTAAACCTTAATCCCTGAGCCCTAAGCCTTACTAGCAGCAATGACAACAAGTGCTAGTTAGGATGGCACTAGCAGTCGTAAGCGCCATATTCATCAATCACGGCTATACACTGCAGAAGCCCCCAGTATGATGAAGCCCTTGCAAAACTTTGTGCAAGAGGTGATAGGGTTCAGAGCGAAGGGCTTACAGGGCGTGTGTGGGTGTAGGGGGCGCGCGCACCCTCGCCGTGCATAAAAGACGTCTACATGGCAGAACTATAGGAACTGAATCAAATTAGGGGTACCTGATCATCCAGGGGCCCTGAAACAAACCAAGAGGATCTTTCTATTTAGGGCGAAACAAAAACCCCAAAGAAACCTATCACCCCCCCCCCCAATAAAACCCCCATTCGAAGCCCTTCTAAAGCCTATTTTGAAATTCCGTTGCGGTGTCAGGCGCAGGTGATGAGCAGTGATGAGGAGACGATCCCAGGAAAGTCGGCTCTAGAGCTCTGAGGCTGAACTTATCAGGGCTTAAGGTGTAACTGTAGGAAGCTGAAGAAGTAACCCTGGCCCTATGACCCCCAAATATACAAGGTTTCATATGAAGCACCCAGACATTTTTAAGGGTTTCAGGTTAAGCACCCTAACAGAGATTCAGGGTTTTCCTTATCAGGCTTCTATAGCAGGGTTGGTAAAGGGCTTGGGGGTTCTAGAGCTTTTGGCGTGTCTAAGGCTTGAGGGTCTACTCCAAAGCTCGGGCTTTCATGGGTTGAGGATTTAAGGGTTTGGGGCTTGTGGGGTTTATGGGGTTTAGGGTTAAAGAGTTTAGGGTTTGTGGGGTTTGTAGAGAGTTCAGGGTATTACAGAGTTTAAGAGTGTTGGTTTCATTGCCTTCCTTCGTGTGCCTGGCTCCTTAGGTTCCCAGAAACTCCCAGAGCCCCCTTAGGTTCAGGTGTACATACATGTATAGACGGAGATGCACATCCCCCCCCCCCGGCCCATAGTATGCCCCCCCCCGAGACTTCCTTACCCAAACACGCAGGGGTGACCCACGTCACAGGGGGGAAACAGGTCTTGGGAACCAGCCCTTCTTCGATCCGAAGCGCAGCCTTGTTTCTCTCGGTGTGGTCTATGGTTTACGGTGCGAGAAGGCTGCTTAGGGTTTAGGGTCTTAGGGTTTAGGGTCTTAGGGTTCTGGGTTTAGGGCTTAAAAAACAGAAACCGTAACAAGCCTTTCAACACAAACCCAAAACCCACAACACCCTAACCCCCAGACCCCAAATACCCTGTATCTTGAACCCTTAACCCCTTAAACCCCTTTATCTCAGACCCTTTACATTAAATTCCTAAGCCCCCTTCCTTTAAACCGCTAAGCCCCTAAACCCTAAACCCCTAAATCCCTAAACCCTAAACCCTAAACCACTAAACCTAAAACTCCTGAAACTGAGGCTCGCCTCGCCCGACTCCTTTGGCTCCTCTCCCAGCACGCCCGCTTTCCGAGAAGGTGCCTTTAAAGCTTTCTTTACAGGATTGCAGGGTTTAGGGTTTAGGGTTTTAAAGCTTCTTTACTATTTACGGGAGTGTAGGTTGAGTGGTGCTATTTTAGTGGGCGGGAGTGGGTTCTAGGATGGCTTTTGCGGGTAATGGGTTGGGGGTTGTGTTTGGTGTTTCTCTGTTGCTTTTGGGATTACAGGGACGTTAGGGTGTCGGGGTTGAGGATTAGGAAGACGTAGGCCCCCCCCTTTGGGGTTTCAGGATCTAGGTGTATGGTCTTGGGTTTGGTGCTTTGTGATGGAGGTGACTTGGTGCATTTTGAGCTTTCTTCCGGGCTTCCTGGAATCTCAGAATTTTAGCCTCAGTTGTCTCGCCAAGGTGTGTTGTACGCGATGATCGGTACGACGTTGGTCCTTCGGGAGAAGTCCACGTTAGTTGAAGGTTGCATTGTCATGGATCTTCTCTGGTGCACGCTTGGCTGTGACTCTGAGTTGCTGGTTTCACAACGTAGTACACAAGCCAACACAGATCTCACTCATGATTGCTGAGTAGTCTGTGTGGAGCGTCTAGTTAGCGATCTTCCAGCGAATGTTGTTGTTTAACGACGCGCCAGATCATGATGCAACGAGAGTGCTGGCGTTGCAGACGGTGCGAGCATGTTTGGGTACTGTTCAACGCATACCGTTTCTGCTGTAGCCACCTGTAAACGAATGCACTACTGTTTGGAAGACCAGAACTGGCTTGGAAGATCCTGTCAGGGAGGCGGCTAACCAGTCAGTCTGTGTGGTGAAAGTAGGAGTTCGAGTGGCAGAGACTCTTTGGCTCAAAGCTTTGTCCATCCTAAAATCCGCGTATGGACCCCCAGCCATGAGAAATGGCTTGGCGGCCTTCGCCTTTTTCGTCTTGGTCGGTGTAGCCGGGGCTTCCGATGCCAATGCAGCAGATGCACTGGCTCTCGACGGGGAGTGCAACAGCGGCGACTGCGCAATGAACGCACTCCAGCTTCGCAGTAAGCAGCACTCAGAGAACTCCGAAGACTTCGAAGAGAGGATGGTGAGGAAGATTGGGGGACTCTGCCCAAAAGGCATGGTTCCCGGCCCGCCAATGACCGACTATTGCTGGAAGAACAAATGCCCCGGGCCCAAGGCCGTGTTCTACTCCATGGCCCCTTGCAGCTCCTTCTCGGGCTGTTCCATCGATGACTACATGCGTAAAAAATACAGCTACTATCGCGGCCCTAGCAACTACTACGACTACAGCATGAGATTGCTTGAAGAAGGTGCTGAGACTGCCGCCTCAGAAGCTTCCGATTCCGAGGTGATCGAGGACGCAGTCGTGGCCCAGAACTCCACGGAGTGCCCACAAAGCTTGCCATTCTTGGCAGATGGCCGGTGCTTCCGCAATCGCTGTATACCACAGAGCAAGACTACGACAATCTACACAATGGCCGTGAACTGCAACTTTTACACCGGCTGTGTCAGAATCCCTCCCGGCGGTGTGCGAGGCTTTCCGGTGCCTCAAATGGTACCTCAATGTGACGCCCACGTGGCTTGTGTTAACGCAGGACTCAGTGGCGACTGCTGTCCTTCCATTCATGGCACGATGCTTGGTTGCTGCTCCTAAGCGGAAGCCGTGACGGCCATATCTGTGCAGTTCGAGAACCGTACCGTGCTCACCAGCGAAAGAAGGCAGTGCAATGATTGTCGCTATCACTGTGTTCATGACCTTTGGGTGAGAGTCATGCCAGAAACAACCACAGTTGCGTGCTTCTGCTCTGCTCATCTCCCCCCACGACCGCCTTTCCCTGGCCAAAGCCTTGAGCCACCCTGAAAATCCTGACCTCCAGGTGATCTCATCGATGTGTGGAGCTCGACACGCAATGCATGGCAACCAGGAGCCGTCGAGGACAGGGGCTCTGGAAGCAGAACTGCGCTGACAACACCTGCTGCTCAGAACTCGATCACACCAATAATCATTAGTAACTTTGATCATAGTGACGGCGATGCTGGTGGTGCAGATCGTCGAGACGATGATGATGATGATGATGACAATGATGATGATGATAGTGACGATGATGATGGTGGTGATGACGATGATGATGACCACGACCATGGTCATTATCATGATCAGCTCCGCCTTCTGCCACTGCTACTACTATTTCTACCACCACTACCGCTATCACTACCATTACGACCACGACTACTACTACTACTACTACTACTGCTGCTGCTACTACTACTACTACTACTACTCCTCCTCCTCCTGGCCATTCCCGCCCCTGCCACTACGACGGAATGCTGCTGGTACAGCTACTGCCTACCATTTCACATGCCACATGCTCTAGCCAAACAAAGCAAAACATGCTGGTGGCGGGTAAATCATGCTCGACAGGAGCTTGCCGCCTGTCGCACAAGATAGCAGGTCGCTACAACCAAACAACATGAAAGCCAAGAGCTTGCTGAGTTCAATTCGTACAGCAAGGGTGTCCAGTCTGTCCAGTCTCTGCACGTGAAGCCTACAACAGCATGCGTCTCAACCACCATAACAATGTACATAGCCATAGCAAGATCTGGACAAGCCAGCAGGCCACGTGGACGTTGCACCTAGCACCTTGCAGACATTACCGGTAGAAAGACACTCAGAAAAATGCCTTGCACCTCAACTCTTCTCAACTCCAGGCGCACAGCGCAGCCTTGGAAGACCTGAGGAAAACCTCATGCAATCTTCCGATGCCCCACAAGCCTCCATAACTGCTACACCCTCCACGTATATCAGAGGGGTACACCCCAAACACCGAACCCCGGTAACCCGAAGCCCCCCCCCCAAAAAAAAAAAAAAGAAAAGATGCAGCGAGCTGCTAGGCTTTCTTCGCCCAGAGCACCGTCGCAGAAGGCTTCCAAGTACCAGCCGGGACCATCAAAGCCATCTTTGCCACAGGAGCCGGTCCGGGTTGAGGGTTTATAGGGGCTTTATAAGGTTTACAGGGTTTACAGGGTTTATAGGGTTTATAGGGTTTATAGGGTTTACAGGGTTTAGGGGGTTTAGGGTTTAAGGGTTTAAGGGGTTTAGGGGTTTAGGGGTTCAGGGGTTCAGGGGTTTATGGTTTAGGGCAACAGACTCGGGCTTTGGGCATACCTCGGGCTCATTCTTCTTCAGGCCCGTATTTTGATTTGTTTTTTCTGTTACTGATAGGGGGGAATCTGGTTTTGTGCACGAAGTTCATGCTTGCGTGGCGACGGATCCCAGAGACTGCCTGCCTCACAGCGGCAGCTAAGGGGATGTTGGGCTATTCATAGCCATTGGTCAGCTAACCTTAATCAGGGGAATCAAATCTTTTTAACTGCGTCCAGTTGACGTGCTTTTTGGCACGTGGTAGCTATGGCCGTGGAGTAATTGAGAACTCTCTTTCTAGGCGTTCAGTACGTCTGTGGCTGAATGGCTGAGGCGCGCATCGTACTGTTAGCGCCCTCTGAAGGACAGGGCGTCTAGTGTGAGTCAGGGATCTGCATGAACGGTCTGCGGACCCCAGAAGCGCGACACTTTGTCGCTCGCTCTTGAATCTCCGCGTGACCAGCCTAGCCAAAACCGCTGAAAGCTAGAAACCCCAAGCATCCAAGCATAACCTAGACCTAGACAGGAGCAAAGTGGATTCCCCCGGAGCGGATCGAAAGCGATGTGCGGCGAACTCCGAATGGGCGACTGGCAGCTAGACAGAATCTAGAACCCTAGTAACCCTTGTCGGCTAAACCCTACTTGGCTGGAAGTGGGCCCTTGCTTGCGCGGTGTGAGCCGGGTCCTAATTTCCTAAGCTCCAAGGCACAGAGCGTTCTTTTTCAGTTGCCAAACTCGCCCTATGCCCTGTAGATCCCCTGAAGCTTCCCCCTAAACCCTGCACACCTTCCTAAGGTGCCCCACATCCCCAACGGCCACGAGACCGAGTGCGCGAACATCGCGAGCCAGGAATCGGCCGATGAACACGTCGTGTACGGCTCAACGAAATATCAACGAGAGTAGCAAAAGTAGTAGCATTCACAGCAACAATAAGAGTACGAATCGTACAAATAGTAGTACTACTAGCAGTAGCAACAACGACAACAACAACAACAGCAGCAGTAATGGTAGTACGAAGAGTAATTGCCACAGTAATGCAGGGGTTAAGTTTAGGGTTTAGGGTTTCGGGTGGGCCTGTCTCGTATGTGTTTCCATCGTCTGCTCCGTCGTTTCTACCATGCGGTTCCTTTTCATTTGAGGTGCAATGAAATTCCCTTTTCTTGTGCGAAACCGAGATATGTCGCCAGTAAGTCTTGGAGCCACTTTTACGTGTCTGATTTTCGCGGCGCTTCCATTGCCTTGGAACCCCACAGCAAAACGACCAACAACTTCAAGTCCGAAAACTGTGAAGCCCTATAGCCCTGACCCGAAGATCCGAAGACGGGAACGCAAAGCCCAACCTGGCAAAGAAGAGCCCTCTAAAGCCTTGATGCAGCCCTTTTTTGACGCCTTTTCCTTCACCGAATCTGCCAGGGCCGAGTGCTCTTGAGCGCCTCCCTGTCAGAAGACATGCTGGCGCTGGATGAGTCTTTCGCTCGGATGTAAAGGGGCCTTGAGTCGCTGGGGATTGGGTTTTGGGTTTAGGACTTAGGGTTTAGGGTTTAGGATCCCAGAATTCTACTAGATGCTTTAACTTTATGCCTGTTGTCATCCTTAGAATAAGACTGATTCATAATTACGACACGAAGAGTACTCTGCTAAGCTGTAGTGCGATACGGGTCAGGAGCCTGAGTTCAGGGCTGCGTGAAATTATCTGAGAGTCTTTTTGTCGGAGACTTGGCGCGGACTGCTCGGGGGCTCAGGCTTGCTATCGCCAACTACTTGGAGGGTTCAGGGGTAGTTTTTTAGTGGGTCTATATGGCGTTCCTTTAAGGGCTCTATGGGGTTCCATAGGGTTTAGTTTAGGGCTTAGGGTTACAAGTGGGGTTATAAAGTCCCCGAATATGGCTTATAAGTATAGATGCCCTACTTATAACCCCATTTATAACTGCCCATGAACCTCCAAGCATGGCCACTGAGGGTATAGCGAGTCAGTTGTGTGGTCCCCGATACAAAAGTGCTTTCTGGGGTCACATGCCATCTGCCCATGTGCGACGACGCTGCTCTCACTTGGTCTGCTGAGGCCGTGAACGGAGGCTTCGGAGGTCCTCATCACCCTCATCGTCATCATCACGACCACCCTCACTGTTGCCACTATCACCAACATGATGGTCAACGTCATCCTAATCGTCAGGCTTTTCATCACCACTACGAACAGCAGCTTCGTCGACGTTTGATGCAAGGCAAGGAGAGGAAGGTTCATAAGCTGACCGACTCTCCCCAATGCCAGAACACAACCCCTAGTTTTTGAAAGGCCTACACCTTCCTGATATAAATTCCGGAAAACTGTAATTCCAGAAAAAGGCTCCTTAGACAGAACCCTGAACTGCAATTTCGGGTTTTGTGGATTTAGGGCTTAGGATGTCGGCTTTAGGGCTCAGGGGGCTTCTAGGGTTTTCTTTACGGTGCAGGTGCCTAGAACGATCCCATTTGGGTCCTTATTAACAACGAGCCTTGAAAAGTGGGGTCCTTCTCATAAAACACCCCAAACTAGTGATCCTCATTGCAACACTCCCGTAGAATAAAGCATCTGGGGTGGCAAAAGCCCAATAAAGTGGGATCCATGATCTTAAGACTTGCCTGGAGTAGTAGGACCCTTGTACCCCTTAGCCGTAAGGGAACCCCGAAAAGGAGCCCCTAAATCAGCCCTTAAGGGGACCCCCTCAAGCAAAAATGCATCTATAAGGGTAGCCCTGCTTGGGAAATCTGAGGCGTTGCTGTGAGCTGACCGACCCAAGAAGACCTGCACTTGTCATCTCGTGGGGTGGCTCAGAGACGAGCGAGGGACTTTGGGGGGTTAGGCCTTTAGGGGTTTAGGGTTTAGGCCTTTAGGGGTTTAGGGTCTAAGCGGTTTAAGTTTAGGGTTCAATCGGACCTTCAACGGGTTTTCATAGTGGTTGTCACGGCAGATTCACCGAAGCGTTTGAACGGATCTCCGGAGACGTGGCATTCGGGCATAGATTGCCCTTTGCAGAATCAAACCATCTAGTTTCGCAGTACAGAGGCACTGCCAGGAATATAGAGTAGTTATCAGATGTACGATGCTGGCATACAGCGCTAATGTTGATGATGACGATGACGGTGCGTGACAGAGATGACAATGCTGAAAGCTGTGATGGTGACGAACAGGTTGCCGCGACTTATGATCCGTGTGGAGCCCAGGCGTGCCGCCAGTCCTGAGACTCCAGACATGTTCGGCTGCAGACGTGGCGCTGCTGCACAGGGCAGTGAAGGCTTTAGGCTAATATAGTGGCCTGACGAATTCCCATAGGGACTTCGGGAATTTTACGTGGTATTTGCAAACTTTCGGCCCGGAGTGTATGGATAGGCTATGCCTGGGGATCCAAAAGCCCAGTGTTCGAAGGGTTCTGCCCTGTCTCGTAGGGTTTTGAGCTTCAGGCTTTTGGCTGTGGAGTTCAGGAAAAAGACTTAGGCTTTGCTTGGGTCGATAGAGCTCTGGTGACTTTGAGGCTTAAGACACTCTTCTGAGTTCGGAATGCGGCACAAGATGCCGTTGAGATCCGGATGTAGCGGTTTGGGAAGGTTTGGATGAAGCCCTGAACCTTCAATCCTAAGCCCGAAACTTGGAGCAGTTCAGGGGTGGTCTGCAGGGTTAAGGAAATTCGAAGCCCGAAAACCCTAGCCTCCAATGCTCACGCACTCGTGTAAGCCTGAACACCTAAGCCACAAGATTGTGCCGGAGTTCTTCGTTTGGTTATCGACCCACCCTCTGCGCCCGTAAAACATCCTCTCCTTAAGGGGCGAAAGACCCTTCCCCAAACCCCAAACCCCCCAAAGACGCCCAAACCCAAAGCCCCCAAATGAGCCCCTGCCCAGGACAGAGCTGGTTCTGCTTGTGAGCCATGGCAATGAGTCTGGCGGCTGTCGGATTGGTGGCTTCAGGGTTCAGGGTTCAGGGGTTGGGGGTCAGGGGTTGAGGGCTTAGGGGCTAGGGGTTTAGGGCCAGAGATCAGGGTTTAGGGGTTGAGGGTTTAGGTGTTGAGCGTTTAGGGGTATAGAGTTGAGGGTTGAGGGGTGTAGGGGTTAGGGTTGAAGGCAACCAGCAGTTGCTGCCAAGTTACAGTGCACAGCCCACTTCTGGACGACCTAAATATGCAATATGCAAGCCAAAATCAGCATCAAAAGCCCACAATGGCCCTTGGAATTTCCCCGAAACCCTAAACCATTGCTGGTGGATTTTTTTCGTGTTGAAGGCTCCAGGGTTTCTGACTAAGACTTCACATAGAAGCCTCGACAGCTAGTTGCAACTGTTATTCCCTAGGGTTCCTTCAATATTGTTAGTAGAACACACCCCTAAAACCTGATTCTGATTATTGTTTAGGCCCCGAAAACCATGCTGTTGGAGTCGAGGGTTTGGTGTGTTTGCACGTGGCGAGTCTTGTGCCTCTTGCGCTTCAGGTTTCTCTGCAGTGCTGCAGAACATTGGTGTATCGGAGTTGCCGGCTCACCTACGGCCTGTACTCTATGTGATCAAACACCCACCCACACACACACACATACACACAAACGACTAACATGAGCTGCTGTCAAGCGCTTCGCCTAGCAAGACAAGCTCTCCAAGCCTCAACCCCAAACCCTGAGCCCGAAGCCGTTTCCTCGACCCCAATCCGAACCCCTACGTACCCCCCAAGCCCTCATGCCCAAGGCTACTGCTACAATCCTAAGCACCTAAACCCCTAAGCCTAAACCGTTTGCCTAAACCCCGAAACCCCGAAGCCCTAAACCCCTAAGCCCTAAAGCCCTAAAGCCCGAAACCCCTAAAGCCCTAAGCCCTAAAGCCCGAAACCCCTAAAGCCCTAAACCCCCAAGCCCTACACGCCGAAACTCCCTTGGGCCCAGGATCGCCCCTGACTGAGCCTGCCAAGAGCAGTTTTCTGCCGCCACGGCCGTTGCTTCGAAACCAGGGTTCGGGGCTGTCAACCACGAGAGTTTAGGGTTTAGGGCTTAGGGGATCTCTCTAAGAGTTTGGGGTATTTGGGGGTTTGGGGCTTAAGGCTTAGGTTTGGGGTTTAGGGTTTCAGTTCGACTCTAGGGGCCACTGTGGGGGGGTTACTATTTATCTAGGGGGTTACTCTAAAGATGATTCCCTTCAGGGGCTGCCATAAAACATAGGTTACTGTAACGGTTACTATAAGCATGAGAAACTGCAGGGGGTACTACATGGGTGACTGTATGGTATAGAAACATGTTTCCAGATGGGTATGAAAAATAGGAGTTCGGGAGGGGTTTTTGTTACCTGAACGGTGTAGCGACCTTAGTAAGCAGTTTGTTGCAAGACGCGTTTGATACGCGGTTTAGCGGAATGGAAGGTAGAGTGTAGATGTTCTTATCGGTGGTTGAGTGCTGGGCCGGAAGAATGTAGGAACGTGATTGAGAAACCCTTTTTGCTGCCTCCAGAACTCAAGGTCCAGAAAACCAGCTAGCCCCGCTCTAGATAGTAGCATGGGATCCTTCTTGGAATGACTTCGAAGTCAGACACCCCGAAGGTTCAAGAAATTCAAGAAACTTTCGAGATGGGCCTATAGAAAACCCTGGGTAACTTTTCGGAGCAGCGCCCCCCATGGGCGCATGGAAGAGGCTGCCCAACAGACCGATGCCTTCCCACTACCTTTCTGGGGTTCATTATTCTGGTTTCTATATCTATCTATCTATCTATCTATCTATCTATCTATCTATCTGGCTATCTGTTTATCTATCTATCTAGCTACCTAGCTATCTAGCAATCTATCTATCTATCTATCTACCTATCTATCTCTCTCTCTATATATATATATTATATATATATATGTATATATGGGGTTAGTTTGACAAGGTATGTAGGTACGTAGGTCTTTTGGCTTGACCCACGAATCAGGGTCGGGAGGGCATTAGGTGTTCGGGCTGTCGTTGGCTCAACCTGCCGCTGTCTGGCTGTATCTTTGGCACAAGTAATCCAAGCCGGTTTCATGACTAAACCCTAAACCCTGACCCCTGGGCCTTTCGGATATACCTGCAGACGGAAAAAGGGGCTCAAAAAAAAAAATTAAACCCTAAACCCTAAACCTTCACGAACCCCGGACCTCCCTCATGAAACCTCGACTTTTGAGCCATCCGAGAGTCTCGGACTGCGCGTCCCTCCACGGTTTCCTTTGGGCTCCTCGGGGAGTCCCGTCTCTGTCGGCTAAAGGTCACAAGAATAGGGAGGTTCAGGTTCAGGTGTTCAGAGAGGTTCAGGTGCCGAGTTGCACGGTTTAAGAAAGCCTTTCTTCAAGCTTGGTGCTTAAAAAGCACTCAGCCTGAGTCCCGGATGTCACGTGCCAGCGGAAAGTCGAAACGGGTCATCTCAGGGGACTGTACTCTATTATGCTATACTGTAATTATGCTATATTATATTTGTTTTATTATGTTACGTTGTAGCATACAGGTTCGTGGTTACGATGACTTGCGAAGGCTGTCTGCAAAGTTGACTTCCCCTCTCCCTCCCAACGGGGGTGTATCCCCTTGGTTTGAAATGTCTGCTTGAATACGTATCACTGTGGGTTTAGTTTCTACGTTGCCTCACGATGTTTTTCCCTGTCATGGTGGTTGGGTCGGAGAGGGGCGTTCATCACATCGGGAGGCCACTCGTGACACAGGGCTCCGACTCCATATCTCCTGTGCTGGTTTCAATGTGGTACAAGGACGGGGCACGAGCCGCGAGGTAAAATGCCGCTGAACCTGCGGTGAAGCTTCGTTTGCAGGGCCACGATACAGTAGGGGTTTGGCGGGTCTTTCTCATGCCATGATATCAGGGACCTATCGGGACATAGTAACGCTCAACCTTCTGCAGCTTTCTACAGGAGCCTCAGGGGCCTTAGGGCTTTGGGAGGTTTCGGTGAGAAGTTACGGGTCCCAGGGCTCAGGTTGTTGGGTTTAGGGCTTGGGGCTTCACGCAGGGCAATTAGTGTCAGCTGCCAGAAGCAAAGCGTTTGAAGTAGCAAATAGGTTCTTGAAACAGACTGTGCGGTATGGCACCACCACCACCACCACCACCACCAGCACCAACAACAACGACAACAACCCCGGCTGATGGTCAGGGCTCGGGGGCCTCGGGGTTTAGCAAAGGCGCCAAAGGCAGTTTCGGGACGCATTCTCTCATTGTGGTGTAGGTCTGAGACTTGAAGATATTCAGGCGCATTCTCTGGTGGTGATCCCAGCTTTCAGAGTGCTCACTGCAGACTCCCTTGCAGTCAAGCTTCTTACTCAGGCCAAAGTCCCCTCTCTTGCTTGCGGGTCAGAAGGGAGGCCCAGTCGACCGAAAAACCAAAGGCTTAGAGCCCACAAGCCGCAGAACACTCAAGAACCCTTCAACCTCCCCCCTCTTCCGGGTCTGATAGCAAGGATTCTAGTGCTTATCCTCCACATGTGAGCTCCTAACCCTAAACCATACGCCCATTTTTTTGTTTGGGTCGGAATGGTTGCAAAAAAAATCCCGAAGCAGCGCATTCAGCCTTAATCAATTCTTTGGGTTTACTACCCCGTGAACCCCTAAACCCGAAAGATACTCCTTCTATTCTTTGGGTTCACTCTACTGCCCCTTGAACACTACAAACCCGAAAGACCCTCCTCTTTCTTTGGGTCTACTACCAGTTCTCCACTCCGAGGTTCGATCCAACCGAGTGGCGGCGGCTGCGGGCTCCCTTGGCCGAGGCTTCCCCGGGGAAAAAGCTCCCGGCTCCAAGTTTTGTTCCGTTAGTCCGGCATAGGTTCTTGAAGGGGTTTTATAGAAGCTTGGGGAAAGGTGTCACTAAAACGGGGTATGACGGCTGAAGAGGATTACGAAAAGGTGTTCCTTTACGAAAAGGGGGTTTACGTGGCAGGATGACATTGGCGAAGCAAACAAAAGAACTAGGATGGAGGCTAGGGCTATGGGTAACACAGGGACCTCAATGACGGGGAAGAGGGTTTGGGTGGGCCCTTGGCTTGGGGGAAGTTCTCATGTCATTGATTCTCAAAGCTTCTATGCTAAAACCCTGAACTTCTAAGCCGTTCACCGCCAAGCCTTGAAACCTTGAAGCTGATACTCTGCTCACTCTTCCCCTGAACCCGAGTCTCTCAGCTTCAAAAACGCTTTGACTGGAGCGAACGAGGGACACTCTGATCGTCCCAATTCAAAGGATCGAGACAGGCGGCCACGTCCGCACTCTGGGGTTTGCTTGGCTCCGGGCTTCGCGAAACTCTCAACTCCACTTGGAGGTTCAGGGGTAGCTATAAATAGGGTTAGAAGTCCCCTATTTTGGCTTATAAGTATAGTTACCCTACTTATAACCCCCATTTGTAACTACCCATGAAACCTCCCCAAGCATCCCTCTCTCTCCGGCCGACCGCTCCAGGCCGCTGCTCAGCTGCGCCCGGCCGAGCTGACATCGGCGCTGCAGGCGATGTCTAAAAACTGGCGTTCACTGGCTTTTTCGGACTAGGTTGGGCCTTGGGGCCGCGAGTTCTGGGGTGAGAGTTACGGTAAGTGCGATTTGGTCCAAAAGCGCGGCTGCTGCCCATACAGCTCCCAAGCGATCTCTAAGCCTGCTTAAGACATCAGGTTTAGAAACGCCGAGCGAAAACCACAAACGAAAGTGCTCAAGAGTTGATGTTTTGTGGCTTTGGAGTAGCTTTGGGGAGGGGCTTCAAGCCCTGAAAGCCCTAACCCTGAGAGCCCAAGTTGCGGTCGGAATACTTACAATGGGTATCCCCTTGTAGTTCCCTTGTATGATGCTACAATGTACCCCACACACCACATTCGGTCAGGCCCCTATACCATTTTGCGGGAAGCTCACTCGGATGGAGCGGATGTCCACTCCCCCCGTCTAGCAAACACCACA